TATTGCTAAAAGTAGCATAAAACCATACTCACTCACTCAATATACACTCATTCAATCTATACATGAAAATGCAAAAAGAAATAATCTTGAAGGTAAATGATTTAATAAATGAGATTATTGGTGAGTTATTTATCAAGGCAGATTTGAACAATATTTGACTCAATATCACGGCATTTCAGCCAAAGTGGGAAGAAAGCAAAACGTTACTCTTGTCGAAGACCATTACCTAGTGGCTGAAGCCTTCGTTCGTCATATTCAAGACCAGGGTTTGATCCATAACACAGGCACAAAGTGTGAAGCCATTTTCATATTTCATATTGCTTAAAGTAGTGTAACACCTAACTCACTCACTCACTCACTTCTGCATTCAACTAAGGAAGTTGGATATAATTATGTAATGTTGTTCCATCTTGTCATTGAACACCTGATTGAAGGTAAACAAGTTACCTTAAATGGATCTACATGTATACCAAAGTAGTTGTTAATACTCGTTCTCAACCATACACAACACTGTACAAAATGTCAGCATTTGTGTTAAACAGGCCACCATGTAATAAAAAGAAATTCAAATTACTCAGCTTGTAACCATGGTAACAGAAAATAGCCATAAATCTGCTGAATAGACCTTAACCCCTCCCCAACCCAGTTTCTACTTCATCTTGACCATGTTGATATTGACCAGTGCATTACTTTCTGACCTTCCCCATTACAGTTCTCTGTATGTTCTTCCTACGTAGCTGTCAGTTACAGAAAGCACCTGTCAATCAAATGAAATCCAACCTGCAATACACAGGAAATGTGTCCGAATGTGAATTTAACACTGAAGAAAGTCATTGTCACAGAAGAACTTTGTCGTGATTATCACAAAGTTGTCAGAAACAAATAATTATGAAATTTTATTGTACAGGTATCTCTTATTTCACTTTTTATCATGAACAGCACACTAAAATATAGTGACAATTGCAACTTCTCTTGTGATCTTATCATCAAATTAGTGATGATAAGTCTGCTGGAACCCTAAACTTCATTTGATTGTGATAGGGAGTGTTAAATAAAAAGGAATATTGTACATGTTCTTATTCATCCATAATAACTTAACATGACTTAATAACAATATAAAGAGCTGACTTCTCTTCCCATATTTCTCTCTTAAACGTATTTCATTAGCAAAATAAATAAAGGCTGGAACTAGAAAAGAGACTTTGAGTTAACAAACAAAACAATAACAACACATCTCTCTATCCAGTATTACTATTATCCCATGTGCAACAGGTACCTAATTACACATATCTCTATCCAATATTACTGTTATCCCATGTGCAACAGGTACCCAGTCAACACATCTCTCTTTCCAATATTACTGTTATGCCATGCACAACAGGCACCCAATCAACACATCTTTCTATCCAATATTACTGTTATCCCGTGTGCAACAGGTATACCCAATCAACACATCTCTCTTTCCAATATTACTGTTATGCCATGCACAACAGGTACCCAATCAACACATCTCTCTATCCAATATTACTGTTATGTCATGCACAACAGGTACCCAATCATCACATCTCTCTATCCAGTATTACTATTATCCCATGTGCAACAGGTACCTAATTACACATATCTCTATCCAATATTACTGTTATCCCATGTGCAACAGGTACCTAATTATACATATCTCTATCCAATATTACTGTTATCCCATGTGCAACAGGAACCCAATCAACACATCTCTCTGTCCAATGTTATTACCATTCCATGTGGAATCAATCCAATATGACTGTTGTTCAATGTGCAACACTGCCAACAGGCACCCAGTCAACACATTTCTCTGTCCAGTGTTATTATTATTCCATGTGGAATCCAATATGACTGTTGTTCAATGTGCAACAGGCAGTTCATCAACACATTTCTCATCAAACATTACAGTTATTCGTCTGCAATGCAAGTTGGGCTTTACATTATTTCCAGATGAACTACACTTTATTTGAGTACAACTGACTCAAGACAAAACTACATACAGGGAACTGAAAAAGCTGTTTGTATAACATGAAATCCACAACTCTTAGGGGTCATATATGCTCTCAAAATCCACGAGTAATATGCTTTATATATCACATCTCATTCGTACTGGAAAGAAAATATCACAAGGATGAGATACTTTTGTCTAAAGACATACACATTTTACTTCAAGTAAACCATTTAAAAAGACACCTGAGCTTTTGTCGTAACTTAAACATTCTTATTATCATTGGTAAATAGTTTGCAGTTGTTTCAATGTCTGTAATGAGTGTGGGTTAGAACAGACACCAGTTTTACATGCTTGAAGAAAGAGCTGACTCAAATCGTCATGGATTTATCAGACTTTCCAAGAGGCCAAAATTGGCCATGAAGTCTGTAGCAGGTGTCTAGAAAATTCCCAAATTGCAATTAACCATTTCCCAGTTTGTGCTTATACAGTGAATAGTATGGCAAACCAGGGATGACTTGTACAGATAATTGGATCAGTGAGGTAGAGGCTTTATGCTTAGGTTTACATTGTTGGATTGAAAGCAATATCAACCTACATTGTTGGATTGAAAGCAATATCAACCTACATTGTTGAAATACTCTGAGCAAAGACAACAAATATGAAAATTAAAAAATACTATATTTTGTTCTCTCCAAATTTGCCTGCCAAGTGTACTTAGTTTAGATTCCATGATAAATCCTGACCTCAATGAAGTTGTGGGACATCATTGCCATCAGGGGTTACCTGGCTGTTTGAGGCATGTCATCATTACCCAGTTGGTACGAAGCTTTTGCTTTCTGTCACAGCTCAGCCTAATCCAGAGTCTACATTTGCAGTTGTACTGCTGAATGGCGGATAAAACTTTCCCTGACTCATTCAGTTACCTCGCCACTTCAGTAGTACTTCTTGGATATTCGTCAACTAAATTGATCAGTTGGTCAGACTTGATCACTGGGTTGATCACATGTCAATGTACACTGATGGTGTATCAGTGTACCTTAACAACATGGATCGATGCTCATGATATCAGTTATAGCATCATCTGAACCTATTGGTAACTACTGTATTATATACTATTCAAAAGACACTAATGAACACCCACTTCTTTGATATTGCTTATCATGACTATATAAAAAAATTGATGGAATTTCGTATGTTCAACTTCTTTGAAGTGAGGTCAAATTTAACTTCACATTTGCTTTATTTCAGCCATATCCCCGTATCAGGGGTTTTCGACGATGTAAGACAAAAACGTAATTTTTATCTGTAATATCATTTGAAGTTTTAATTTTACTAACCTTGGGTGATAAAGGATATATTCATCTATTTCACACAAAAATATCAAGTGTTTCCTACAAAAATAAGGTTGATGACATCGTATCTGCGAAACTGTTGCCATTCGCCACATCCGTGGATTTTGTATGGGTTTTCAACAATGAGCCATACTTTTCGCTCCGCACTGCGAGGGAGTGTTGTGATAACGTGGCTTTCTATTTAAATATTGCCTGTCACCAGTCACGAAAGATCTTACTGAATTTTCGCTTGCTATTTTTTGTTATAAAGGCAATTGATTTTGCATCTGAAGTGGTATTAACGATCTCGGGTAAATAATATTGATGTTTGTTTGCTTTTTAAACAACTTAACTTCCGGTTTTCAATTTTCAACAAAACTTCTCACGACAGTGACTGGGCATCTGCCCTGCCGATGAAATTGCTTGTGCTAACCGATCGCGCAACGTACTCCCCCGATATAACGCCAGCAATGCAATCGTCGAGAACACCAGAACGTCGAATTCAGCTCGCTTTGTGATATAACAAGAAAACCAAGTTCAATATATTCAGAAGTCAATTATAAGTCACACCCAAAAGCAATTTCAACCCCTTGTTTTAAATATATACTTACAGAATATATATATGTACAGGTGTAATGTACAGAAAGGTCAATAACCTTTGCAGAAAGATACCGGTACCTATCTTATGGGAGTCAGATTTAATTCTGATAATATTATTCAAATACATCAGATGCCTGTTATCTGGTATATTTCATAAAATGAATAGATGATCAATGGTGAATAAATTCCATATCATCACTAACATTATCTACTATGGTGTACATGTTGACAGAGGTATGTAACATCATTGCAGACCATGTGCCTATTACAAATTGACTTCTATTTAACAGGATTTACTTAAACTTGGACATCTATCTAATGTAAATTGGTGATCTATTTTTTACAGCATCATAAAATCATTGTCTTTCTTTTAAAATATGATCACGACATAATATCATGTATTCCATGTTGTACAAATGAACATTGAAGCAAGATACTTTGATGCAACTATTTTAAGAACTACAAAGTGTTCCTTTATCATCAAATGGAAAATATTCAAAGATGTACTTGTGAAAGTAAAACTCATGACGTCATATTGACTTGAGAAAACTGAAGTGATATATAAACATTGCTGTCATCTCTCCATCAATTCACACAAAATTAGAAAGAAGACATTGTAGTTAGACTATGAAAACTGCCTTAAGTCATAATACAGACCTTAAAGTCACAAATGAAAAACAAAATAACTGTCAGCAACCTCCCTATCCATCTTTGTTGTAAAGACTTTAACTAAACCAGATAAGGGAAGTTCATTTACTTTTTAGTAGGGATAGTGAGAAATGTGGGAATGTTATTTCAAGATCTACAGTTGATAAATGTCGTCTTTTGGAAAGATCACAGAATAGAAGTGGTAAGAAACATGTTTTTGCGACTAAACACGATTTGAATGTGTTGACCTATGAAGTCAGCAATTCCATGTTGATCTTATGCAATATTAGTGTAGTCGTGTCTTGAAAAAGCGGAACAGGAAGTTAAAACGTGCATCCACCCTCACGGAACGTGTTTACTTCTCACGAAATGTGACTATTGTTGTCAAAATATAGTAACGCATAGGGCGTGCCCCAGTGTAAACGAAAATGTCACCAAGTGACTTGACCTACCTTTCGGTCCACGAAGGAACACGCTGCTTCCTTCAAGCCAGCCAAAGACAATTCGCCTTCCACATTAATCTGTTCTCGAGTAAGTCCAATTTGCATCCAAAATGAAAACTTCTTAGGTAAATCATTTGAGAGCGACTCGGACATGATGCCATATGCGAGAGTGTCCCTCGTATCACCTGTTACAGAGAAATGGACCTGCTCAATGGCACAGCTAAGCTCCTCTACACCGCTTGCTCGAGAGCGGTGACGATTCGGTGTCACTGGCACACAGCGGCTTGTTCCTCTTGTAACATCCGTGAATTTAAATTAATTAAGCCCGGCCTGCTTCTGGTGTTGTCGAGGTTTGAAGAAGCAATGGTGAACTACACCAGTCCGAGTCGACCTCGCTCAGGCGTAATATGGTCGAGACCAATACAAGTGACAGGTGATTTACTTTCCCCAACCTTACCCGCCAGACTGCCTTACGACGATGTTGTCAAAGTCCCCGCCCACGCCCCTGAACGGACGGCCAATAAAAAAGTGTCTATATATTTTCAACATGTGGCCATGACTTACTCTTGGAAGCAAAAGATCGTTTCTAAACACGACTGGGGCGGCAACTCCCTTTTTACGACAAACAAGAGAACCAATTTCGGTATAGACATATGCCATTAGTAAGACAACTAGTTGCATTTGATCTTCTCGAAGGTGCCTCGTTGTTGACGTTCGCCGGTGACATCACTAGGCGTAGGTTTATGTGGGATGGCCTAAAAGTCGGGCCAAGAAAAGTCGGGCCGGGCCGGGCCACCGGGTAATACTAAAAATGGATTGCAGAATATTAAAACGAAACCTGCACATTTGGGTCGATACTTTTCCTGCCTTCACAAATGCACAGTTTGATTGAAAATATATAGTTAATGGTGAAAAAAAACCAACAACAACAATGACTACATACCGAGATTCCTGTAGAAAAGACACCGTCTTGTTGTTATGTGTTTTCCTTGATATGTCTATGAGGGAAGGTTGCTTACTTCTCTTAGCGTGTGACATCCTGGGCAGGAAGTGACAGTGTTTTGACTGCTTTTCTTTCCTTAATTAAGATATTGGGGTTTCCTAATTAACCTTTATTGTCTCATGCTGAATGAGCACAGGATGTTTATGTTAAAGAGACGTGGATGTCGGCGAGTGTCAATGGGCAAATATGACATGATTATGTATATTAAAAAGAAATATTTGAAATCACAACATTTTGTTATATGTTATTAAGGATCAAACAAAGTATGCATTCACAAACACAAAAATTCTTATGTGTTTTCATTGTAAACAATACCAGTCCAAATCAGATAGCCAGCGCGTATGCATATGCTTATATTTACTAATACACAAGAAACACAAAATGGTATTATATCTACCTAAATACCACTTCATAAAGTAAAGTAAAAGTGAAGCCCCTTTCTCTCTCCATTCCCAACAATTTAGGGGGAAAAAGTCCTCGGAAAACAAAATCCGCAATCAAAAGTGTTTAGTCTCTGTTCAGCCCGACTTGGCCCGTGGTGTCAAAAACAACCTAAACCTCACACGTGTATCTTGAAATGTGTTTATATCCATAGATTAGTAATATATGTACCTACATACCACTTTACAGAGTCTCAAAGCGTAGTATTTGAAGCAAAAACGTTGCTGAAAGTGAAGCTCTCTTTTCTACATATTCTCAACAAAGACACTGTATCACAAGCGTTCGGTCAGCCTTGTCTCGGGCTCTCAAAAACATCTTTCACCAAACAAATGTATCCTGATTTGTGTTTAATTCCATAGATTAGTATTATATCTACTTAAATATCAATGTGTGATGTTACAAAATGCCACATGTAAAGATAACTGGTTCGGTAAAGTTAAGCCCTTTTCTCTCCCCAAACACAACATAGCCTCAATCAAAAGTGTTAAGTCGCTGTTCGGCCCGACTTGGTCCGTGCTGTCAGAAAAAGCTTCAACCTCACACATGTATACTGATTTCTGTCTATATCTCTAGAATAGAGTAATATCTACCTAAGTGCGTCTTTATAGAGTCTCAAAGCGAAGTATTTGAAGCAAACACGTTGCTTAAAGTGAAGCCCCAATTTCTATACATTCCAACAACCACATAGTATAACATGCTTTCGGTCCGGCTTGGCTCGGGCGCTCAAACGCACCTTATACCTCACAGATGTATCTTGAAATGTGTTTAAATCCTTAGATTGGTATTATATCTACCTAAATATCACTGTGTGATGTTACAAAATGCCACATGTAAAGATAACTGGTTCGGTAAAGTGAAGCCCTTTTCTCTCCCCAAACACAACATAGCCTCAATCAAAAGTGTTTAGTCGCTGTTCGGCCCGACTTGGCCCGTGATGTCAAAAACAAACTAAACCTCACACATGTATCTTGAAATGTGTTTATATCCATAGATTAGTGTTTGATCTACCTAAGTACGTCTTTATAGAGTCTCAAAGCGTAGTATTTGAAACAAACACGTTGCTTAAAGTGAAGCCCTAATTTCTATACATTCTCAACAACCACATAGTATAACATGCTTTCGGTCCGGCTTGGCCCGGGCTCTCAAAAATAACCTTAACCCCACACATATGTCCTGATTTGTGTTTCATTCCATAGATTAGTATCATATCTACCTAAATACGTCTTTATTGAGGCTCAAAGCTTTGTTCATGTATTTGAATCTAACACGTTGCTTAAAGTGAAACCCAGTGTTCAATCTGGCTCTGTGCGGGCTAATGAAATTAATACACCTGTTAATTACACCTGTATCCAGCTTGCTTAATTGCCCCTTGACTAATTGCAATCAGCTAGGTGTTGTGATTCAATTAACATACTCCATTGTTGCCCTTAATTACCGTTCAGGGGCCTTCAGTGTTATTTATTATTACTCCACCGTTTCTTCATAACGTTTATCACAGAGGGGCATGTAATCACTGACTAAATTAGTAATGCTAAAAATGAGGCATTTGTTCTGTTACATATATAGGCTGTGGAAGCATAAATAAATATATATAATTATTTATACTTCCACTCGTGTTATGTTCCAGAGTATAAACATTAATGAATACTAGGTCCGATACCTTTTGCAGGCTGAATCTATTCGTGATATGATTTACACATATACTTAACTTAATAAATATCAGAAGATATTATACCCAATTATATGACATGAAATGCTTGAAAGAGGTGGGGTTTTTTAGTGGTTTCAGAATGCAGGATGTTCTCCGTACAGTTTCCACAGTATAAACATCAATTCATACTAGTACAGATATAGATAGCCGGCTGAAGCTATTCATGACACGATTTGAACATATCAGTAATTTAATAAATATCAGAAGGTATCAGCTAAAATGACTTGCCGTATGAGATGTTATGGTTATATAATTTGAACATACGAAAGTATGAAAACACATCCACGGCAATGACACTGTCTTGCCCAGCTCAGGCTCGGGAGAACATTGTTTTCACTGTGAGAGCTTTGCCAAAGGTTACTCTGAGATGCCGTTTCCTGATGTTGTAAACTTTAAAGCGTTTCAGATAATCCTATTTTCCTGAACACGCATACAGACAATAGAAGTATTAGAGAGAGCAGTGGGAGAAGTATGTTTTCATTAAATCCACAGTGTCTCGCCTAGATTTCTCCAAATGCATCCATATAAAACTGGCCAAGCTGGGCAGTAGCAGCCTATATTCAAATCATCTGATCTGAAAATGTCTGCATTACTTGTTGGCGACTCGTTACTGAAGTATGTTGGACGTTATACGCAGAAAGAAGGGATCGTGACAAGGTCACTGTCCGGAGCCAAGGTGGCTGACATTCCCGATCTCTTGTGGGACATGGAGAACTTTAAGGTAATAAACAGTTCAAGAATGTCGGATTGTGCACAGAATGTGAAGTGATATGTAGGTAGATATAATACTAATCTATGGATATAAGCACATTTCAAGATACATGTGTGAGGTTTTAATTTGTTTTTCACAGCACGGGCCAAGCCGGGCTGTAGAGAGACTAAACACTTTTGATTGAGACTATATTGTGAATGGAGAGAGAAAAGGGCTAACTTTAACGAACCAGTTATCTTTACATGTGGCATTTTATAACATTACAAAGTGATATTTAGGTAGATATAATACCAATCTATGGATTTAAACACATTTCAAGATACATCTGTGAGGTATAAGGTGCGTTTGAGCGCCCGAGCCAAGCCGGACCGAAAGCTTGTGATACTGTGTCTTTGTTGAGAATGTATAGTAAATAGGGCTTCACTTTCAGCGACGTTTTTGCTTCAAATACAACGCTTTGAGCCTCTGTGAAGTGATATTTAGGTAGATATAACACAAATCTATGGATTTAAACACAAATCAAGATATATGTGTGAGGTTTAAGTAGTTTTTGACAGCGCGGGCCAAGCCGGGCTGAACAGAGACTAAACACTTTTGATTGAGGCTATGTTATGAATGGAGAGAGAAAAGGGCTTCACTTTAACGAACCAGTTATCTTTACATGTTGCATTTGAAAACATTACAAAGTGATATTTAGGTAGATATAATACCAATCTATGGATTTAAACACAATTCAAGATACATCTGTGAGGTGTATAAGGTGCGTTTGAGCGCCCGAGCCAAGCCGGACCGAAAGCTTGTGATACTGTGTCTTTGTTGAGAATGTATAGAAAATAGGGCTTCACTTTCAGCGACGTTTTTGCTTCAAATACAACGCTTTGAGCCTCTGTGAAGTGATATTTAGGTAGATATAACACAAATCTATGGATTTAAACACAAATCAAGATATATGTGTGAGGTTTAAGTAGTTTTTGACAGCGCGGGCCAAGCCGGGCCGAACAGAGACTAAACACTTTTGATTGAGGCTATCTTGTGAATGGAGAGAGAAAAGGGCTAACTTTAACGAACCACTTATCTTTACATGTTGCATTTGATAACATTACAAAGTGATATTTAGGTAGATATAATACCAATCTATGGCTTTCAAGATACATCTGTGAGGTATAAGGTGCGTTTGAGCGCCCGGGCCAAGCCGGACCGAAAGCTTGTGATACTGTGTCTTTGTTGAAAATGTATAGAAAAGACAGCTTCACTTTGAGCAAGGTGTTTGCTTCAAATACTACGCTTTGAGACTCTATGAAGTGATATTTAGGTAGATATAATACAAATCTATGGATGTAAACACATTTCAAGATACATCTGTGAGGTATAAGGTGCGTTTGAGAGCCCTGGCCAAGCCGGACCGAAAGCTTGTGATACTGTGTCTTTGTTGAGAATGTATAGAAAATAGGGCTTCACTTTCAGCGACGTTTTGCTTCAAATACTACGCTTTGAGACTCTGTCAAGTGATATGTAGGTAGATATAACACTAATCTATGGCTTTAAACACATTTCAAGATACATGTGTGAGGTTTAAGGTGTTTTTGACAGCACGGACCAAGCCGAGCTGAACAGCGACTAAACACTTTTGATTGAGGCTATGTTGTGTTTGGTGAGAGACAAGGGCTTCACTTTAACGGAGCAGTTTTCTTTACATGTTGCATTTTATAACATTACAAAGCGATATTGAGGTAGATATAATACCAG